GTGAGGAGGGGACAGTAGTTGGAAAATAAGGACTTGGTGCTGGAAATGAAGATGGAAATCGCATGATAGAATTTTGCAAGACCTCTTCATTGCAAAGATCTTTTATTCAGCAACATAAACAGTAACTGTACCAATGGATCCCACCCCCCGCCCGACAGAATGCACAGGAATAAAACTGACTACATCTTCAGTAAGAGACATGGAAAAGCTCAATATTAGCAGCCAAAATGAAGCCAAGATCATCAACTGCTCATATGTGAGTTCAGATTGAGCTGAAGAAAATGAGACCAGGAGCACTAGGGCCAACATACGACCTTGAGGATATCCCACCCACAGTTTTTAGAGCATCTCAAGAACAAATTGGGATGTCATCAAGAACATCATACACGAAGAAAGCAAAAGGTCATTTTAAAAACAGGAAAGAAAGATAAGATCAAAGTAGTTGCAGATTATCTAAGGCACATGGAAGAAATGGTGACGCCGGAGTCTCCCTGAGGGCGATGATTATGAACTAGAACAGTGGGGAGTCCAGGTGGGGTAGTGGTTACCCCGTCTGCCTGCAGTCTGCATGGCTGGCAGTTTGAAACTCCTCGCAGCTCTAGGGGAGAAGGGCAAGACTTTCCTTAAAGAGTTACAGTCTCGGAATCTCACAGGGGCAGTTCTACCTATAGATGCCTGTGCGTGGGCATCAACTGGATGACAGTGAATTTGTTTGTTTTTTCCCCCTACTTATATTTCCCCTTCAGTAAAGCAAAGTGTAAATGTCACAACTACCCACTGGGGGCAGGGTCCTGCAAAGCATTCTTTGAAAATTAAGGATCGATTAAAGGCTTGGTGGCTTAGTGGTTACGCATTGGGCTGCCAACCTCAAGGCTAGAAGTTCAAAACCATCAGCCGCAAGTCGGGAGAAAGATCAGGCTTTCTCTTGGCGTAAAGAGTTACAGTTTTGGAAACCTACAGTGGCAGATCTACCTTGACCTATAGGGTCGCCATGCGTCGGAATCCTTTGGACAGTGAGTTTTGAGAAGCCATTGGGGCCACAAAAACCATTTGTAAAACAATGCAATAAACGGTGGGAATTTGAAATGTTCGTGGGAAAAGGAATTTAAAAAAAAAGAAAAAGAAAGATTTTCCTACAAACTTTTCGAAGCCCCGTCATTTGCGAAGGGCAATAGGCGAGTTTTGCTTGTACATTCTTTGCCTAGCCCTTTCTCCTAAGGATTTTTTTTTCCTTTCCCCACCTTCATTTGGTGATTGTCATTTTTAAGGGGGTTGAGTTGCTACTTTTTAAATGAGTAATAATTTTTAAACTGGTACAATAATACACGAGGGCTTTTTTTTTAAACGAGGGCTTTTTGTAGTTACGTTTTTTGAAAAACGAAATTTAGAAAATAAAGATGGAGCCGTTTATATTTCATTGCCGTTTCGCGAAGACTATGCAAGTAAGCGGTTCGACCGAGGTTTAGGACCCCGATTCGTGGGTAAGCACCCTGGACACGGCTAATTCCTGGCGCAAACGCGTTGCGGCGTGGGTGCTGCGGCGCGGAGCCGGAGGAAGAGCGCGGCTGCCCGTTATTGTCCGGACACCCACGGGCGCGGTTCCCCGGTCTGAGAGAGCCGCTCCGAGTTGCCGTGAACTCGATGGCAGGGAGGTTGGCTATTTTAACATGCATTTCACTTTATGTTCTACATTGTGGTATGGAAGAGGAGCCAAAGCGACGACTCCCAAGACCTTCGGGGACCATAAGCCAGGCACCCGTGGGCCTGCGCGCCCCGGGGAGGCTTCCGGACTCTGGGTGGGCGAGGGGCGGCTGTCGCGTTCCCCGGGGACGCGCACTGGAGGCTTCCGTGCGGGAGCCGGTGCCCTTGGCGGCGAGATGCGCGCAGAGCCACAGGTCCCTTTAAGGAGCGGGGCTGGCCGAGGGGACGCGCCGGGGGCGG